TACACTGTTGGTGGGAATGTAAATTGGTACAGCTATTGTGGAAAACAGTATGAAGTTTCCTCAAAAAATTAAAAACAGATCTACTCTATGATCCAGAAATCACATGTCTGGGTATTTATCCAAAGGAATTGGAATCAGGATCTCAAAGAGATATCTGCACCCCCATGTTCATTACAGAATTATTCACAATAGCCAAATGTGGAAACAACCTAAATATCCATTGACAGATGAATGGTTAAAGAAAATGTGATATATACAATACAATGGAATTTCATTCAGCCTTAAAAAAAAGAAGGTAATCCTGCCATTTTCAACAATATGGTTGAACCTGAAGTACACTATGCTAAGTGAAATAAGCCAAACACAGAAAGACAAATACTCTATGATATCTCATATATGTGAATCTAAAATAGTCAAATTCATAGAAGCAGAGAGTAGAATGGTGGTGGTCAAGGGCTGGAGGGGAGAGGGTAAGGGGGAGGTGAATGGTCAAAGGGTACAAAGTTTCAGTTATGCAACATAAATAAATTCTGGAGATCTACTGCACAGCATAGTGCCTGTAGCTAACAATACTGTGTTGTATACTTAAAATTTGCTAAAATAGTTTATCTCATGCTAAGTGCACTTACTACCACTACTACCACTACTACTACTACTACTACTACTACCACCACCACTACTACTAATAATAATGGGGGTGGGAGAGAATGTTGGGAGATTATGGACAAGTCTATAGTCTTGTCAGTGGTGATGATTTCATGGGTGTATACTTATCCCCAAATTCATCTTGTTGTATATATTAAATATGTACAGTTTTTTACATGTCAATCATACCTCAATAAAGTGGTTTAAAAAAAAAGAAAAAAAGAATGTGGTGAATTTTGAGGTGCTCATAAACAGGAATCTACTGGGCTCTGCGAGGTGTCAAAGACGTAATGAATGATTCCCGTGTCATCTTCAGTGGGAATGAAGTAGTTAAATGGTTGAGAGTCAACTGCAAGTTTTCATAAAAAATCCCACTGATAAATTGTGAGGGGCATTCTTTATTAATTTTATCTCCTGTTATTGTTGATGTAAAAACAATCTTTTGGATTGAGTAGTAGGCCATGCTAGGTATGCCCAGCTTACTTTTCTCTCTTCATTCTTTTTCTGGGAAAAGAACCTCATTATCACATAGGAAAGCCATTCCAGGTGGTTTGGATGATGCTGTCCCTTCTGTCCCCGGCCACAGGAATGGGTCTGTTACCTAGGCTTGGACCATCTGTGTGAACCATCCTTCTCTAGGGACACTGAATTGCTCAAGCATATGCTCATGAAAGACATCAGCCAATCAGTGTCCTATGGGGCCCTTCTCCCAGAACAATGTGGAAAGACTATGTCTGCTGAAGTTGTTAGCAGTAGGTTGGGGGCTGGGGCTGCAGGCAGCTCTCTTGGCTATCACAGAGAGAGCATATGTTTGAAAGATGGAGAGAGACTGAAACTGATGGCATCAGTTGCACCTTGGATTCCACTGTGCCAGATGTCACGTACCACTTTATCCTCAGGGGTGCGTGAGTAAACCTATGCTTCCCCTCCCCCTCCCACCTTATTTTGGTGTAAGCTTATTAGCTGGGTTTCAATCCTTTGCAATGAAAAGATTCCATCTCACTATAAAAATCTGAAACAATATGCCACCTTTCCCCCACCACAAACCTGCTTCCTTGAGTACATTCTCTATGGCAGTGAGTTGCACTGTTCACCACTTGCTCCTTCCTTAACTATGTCTCTCTAAGCAACCATAACATCTCCATTGCCTGTTTCCACCTGACGCTGCTGCCCACTCCTCCTGGGTCTCCTTTGCTGGCTTCCCCTCTTTTGTGAGAAACCTAATTGTTGGAGTGCCCAGAGCCAGCTCATTGGTACTCTTTTTTATCCTCACGCACTTCCATGGTCACTCATCCCATCTCAGACCTTCAGCCCAATTTCCAGCTTCTGATTGTTCACTCTCAAATTGATACAGCCATCTCTGACGCTCCCCAGATCTCCAAAGTTATATGGCCACCTGTCTACTCTTCCTTCTCACATGGATATCTAGTAGGTATCTAAAATGTAACACATCCAGAGCAGAACTGTTGATATCACCCTGACCTTCATTTCTCCCCATTTCTAATAATAGCATCATCATCCATCCACCTGCTCAGATGAAAGCACGAGAAGTTACCCTTCATTTTTTCTTTCCCTCACAGATCCCCTCACTCTTTAAAGTCATCAGCAAATCCTGTCAACTCTGCCTGCAGCTCTATCCTGATATCAATCCCAGCGCTGCTATCCTAAGCCAAATCATTGACACGGCCTTCAACTTTGTGTCACTGCTTCCACGAAAGCCTCCAGCAGTCCATTCTCTAGACAGTTGCCAGAAAAATCTTTTAAAAATACAGATCAGACAAACTTCACCTCCTAACATTTTAGTATAAATATTTGTAAACATAAAGCATGTACTGAACACCCACATACCGACTGCTGAGGTCCTACCACGAATGTTTTACCTGCTTTTCCCCATATCCATTCATCTCTCTATCAATCCATTAACCCATCTTATTTTTATGTTTCAAAGTAAATTACAGACATAGTCCAGCATACATATCCTTACCTAGAGTTTAATATTTGTGTACCGTTTTTTTTGTCTTTTGAATATATAATGAAATGTACCATACCATAAGTTTTGACAAATACATAAACTTGTGTAATCCAAACCCCTATCAAGCTATAGACCATTTCCTTCATGCCAGAAAGTTCTCTCCAGTTATCTTTTAAAAGCACATCAATAGCTTTGCATTGTAATCAGAATAAATCCAAACTGCTCACTATGATCTCTTAAGGACCCTTTCCCTACCCCTGTGACCTCACTTCACCCCAGTCTCTCTTGACTGAGTCATCTCTGGCCACACTAGCTTTCTTCCTGTTTGTGAATAAAAGTGTGTTCCTGCCCCTGGAAGTTTGCACTTCTCGCTTCTGCCCCAAGTGCTCTTTGCTCAGAATTTCCGTTGTTCAGTGCTTCTCACCATTCAAATTGCAGCTACCATGTTACTTCTTCCCCTTGGTTTATTTTCTCCAAAACACTTCTTGTCTTTAAATATTTTAGATAGGTAGATAGTCAGATACATTTAATTGATGCATTGTAAGTCTCCCCCACTAGACATAGTCTTTATGAAACAGAAGCTTTATATGATAATTATTTTTCTATCACCTGGAACCTGACTCGTAGGAGGTATTCACTAAATGTTTGCTCAATAAATGATGACTGAAAGTTAAAAGAATTGAGAAGGGATCAAAGGAAACTTCCAGAGCAACTGGATAACTGTGTCTGAGATGGGGTGCTCAGGATGGGGTCCAGACTGGCTAGGTAATGTAGGCAGTTAATCTTTGAGCATGCTGAGCTAGAATCCACAAGGCAACAGGGTACGTAACTCAGGAGGTCAGGAGTGAGATCTAGGCTGGTCTATGAAGAGTTATAAGGTGTTGGGCAGCTGCATGGCAGCCTGAGAGTGGGAGACATCAAGAGAAGAGTGACCACCAATGTCAGATGCATTCTGTTCTCTCATTCTTTTTTTCTCCCTGCTTTTCTGCTCACTTTCTCTTCATGCTTCCACATTTGCTGCTGGGACATCAGATATCATATGACCTGTGGCTTCAATGTCCTGATTGTTGTAGCCCCTGCCCCCTTCTAGTCTGTTTATAATGTGTAGTGGGCCCTGTGTATAAATAGGCTCTGAGCAAAGCCCTGAGTCTGCCTCAGAGTCATTCATTTGGCCTTTGCTGCATGGCTTGGTGACATGTATTTCAGCTGCTATTTATGGTTTATTTTATTATTATCAGCCATATTCGGGTCAGGTGCAGTGTCAACATGCTGCATACACATGTACGTCATATATGGACTAGGATAATATGATCCTGAATAGCTTATTGGTTGTACTGAATTGCTGCCACCTCATTTGTGTGGACAGGGACTCCCTAATGGGAGACTTCAGTGTTGTCTCTGATAGCATTCATTCCTCACACAGAATTAGCAACAAGTAGCATTGTACAATCAAGCTACAATGATGAATTCAGCAATCCAGGCAAGTGTACTGTAGATTGTATGCCTCCCAGCTAACATCCCAAAATGCTGGGGAGAAAAGTGGCACCCTGTGCAGTGTTCTTTACAATCAACTGCTAAGACTGACCAAGAGCTCGCTCCACTGGAGGAAATAACAGAAGTCCTGCCCTCTAGTCCTGGGTTCCCAGTTGTGTAGCATATATGACTCTCAGGAGGGTCACCAGATACACACACACCTGCAGCGTCCCTCAGCATGACCCTGGGCCACCCTGGCACAACCCATCTCGCTATCTGTACTGACAATCTCAACAGATAGTGGAATAAAACACAATGTCCTGACTTGATCTGTGGGTATGGGCCTGTGTCCAGAGGCATTTTTCCCCTGTGGGGAGAGGCCCACAGAGATTGTCAAACTGTCAAAGGCCTATGTGAGACAAGGGCGCATAATCTATCTTTTACTCAGAGACTGTGATTCATTAGAAAGAGGAATGGGGGAAGACAAGCTTGGTACAGCGGAAAGAGTGTAGGATTTGAGGTGGGGAATCTGTTGTGATCCTCTCTTCCCTGCATCATTATTTACACAAACTAGTTGGATAAACCTGCACAGGTTAGCTACCTTGTTTGTACCTCAGTTTATTCATCTGTGAAACGGGGATAGCAATAGTACCTACTTCCTGGGGCTGTGTGCAGAGGAAAGGAGATCATCCTTACAAAGTATTTAGCAAAGTCCCTCAATATAGGATCGCTAGGAATAAATCAAACTTCTGTGGGTTTCAGTTCACCCATAGAGACGGTTTACATTTTGGGAGTTCTTTACTGTAACTTATAGTTCTAAGTCTCAGAAAAATCTGGAAGGAGGAGGAGTGGGTAGAGATGTAATTTGAAGGGAAAGGTCAGGTGGCAAGGACCCAGGTGCCAAGCTCACCTTTTAGTCGTCGGGGCGATCAAGAGCCGCGGATCTCTGTGCACCAGTGCTCTGGGCCTGAGGGGGTGCCCAGGGCGAACCGGCCTTTCCTCCTCCGCAGCCTGGCGCGGGCCCCAGCCGCGACCTTGGGCTCCCGAGCCAGGCTTGGGCGCCCACGCGTGAATGGTGTCCCTTTGGCCAGAGCGGGCGAGCTGACGCGCGGGGCAGCAGGAAAACGTGTGTGTGTAGATGCGCCCCAGGGCCACGAACGGCGAGCGCACGGCCAGGTGAGCGCGCAGGGCGCGGAGAGAGCCAGCGAGACCCGCCGATTGTGAGCTTCGGCTGCGCAAGGCCCGGTTGCGACGGCAACCGCCCAGGTGCGCGGCGGGGCGGGGCTTGTGTTTGCCCCGCCCACCTCCCGTTGCAACCAGGAGGCCGCTGGAGCAGGATGCGGGAGGTGAGCTCAGCGCTCTCAGGCCTGGGGGGGATCACGGAGCGCCCCAGGATTCCGCCCTTTCATCCTCTTCTCTCACCTCCGCCCTCATCTAAAACATAGTTTAAGTAGAAAAGTAGTAAAAATAAAATGTACAGTATAATAATTTAAAAGTCAAATTAAATTAAAAATTCAATAAATTATACAATAAAACGAGAAGTGCATCTACTCTTGGCAGCAGTAAATTCTTGTAAATCTTTCCAGGAACTTTCTTTCCATATTCTTTTTTTTTTTTTTTTTTTTTTTTTTTT